GCCCCATTTTCACACAGCTGATTGGCGGTTCCAAAATGGCCGCTGCAACCATTTTCGCTGCCGTCGCTTACCAAGGGCGCGAAAATGGCTGCCCCTATGGAGGAACATCGCTGAAGGGCGAGTTTATCCTCCATAGGAACGCATTAAACGAAGTTTAATGCATTCCTATGGGATTTTCCTTTCCATTTAGCGATGTTTCCACATAGCGACAATTAATCCGGAACGGATTAATGTCGCTATGCGGGGCACCACTGTATAACATTCCGATTCTTTGTTGTTCATTATTCCTTCCCTTTACACATGAATTTAAAAGAAAAGAAGGAAAGAAGAGGGAGGGACCTGTTCTAAAGGTATGGGACCATGTCATGTTGTGTTTTGGCAGAGAGTCACATACTTGGCGTTCCAAAGCAGCTTCCTGCTCTGTTAATTTCTTATTTTCTTCCTCTAGTCCTTTCAGTGTCTCTTTCAGAGAGCCAACTTCCAACTGTTTTAAAAAAGGGAAAGAAAATACAACTTCAATTCTGTTGAAAAACAATTCATGTACAGTAATTATTTATACTTCAGACCACCTGCTAGACAAATTTTATTTATTTATTTATTCATTTAAAATATTTTACCCTGCCTTTCTCCTTAGAGAGGACCCAAGGCAGCTTACATCAGTATAAGACAATATTTAAAAACTAAAAACTAAGCATACAAATATTTAAAAAGAATCAAGCAAATGCCACACCTTTTCTGTACTTGTATTTTGATCAGCATACCTTGCTTGCTGCTAGTTCTGCTTCCAGGCTTTTTTTCTCCTCCATCATTTCATGTAGCGCTTTCTGCATCTGCCAATATGAGTTAAACACAGTTGTTTTTACCGAAATCACCAAGGAAAGATGGAAGTTGTTTACATATTCTCCTGAGGTGTATGAGGAAAGCCTACCAAACCTCTGACTGGCAGCTTCTAATTCAAGCAGTGCCTTTTCTCTTATCTCACTACAATTCAGCACTGTGTTACATGTGTTGAACTTTACATGTGCGCCAACAAAGCTGTACTTCCTTACAGGATTACATGCTCCTCCACAAACCCCCCCCACCTTCAAAATAATCCTCATTTGACAAAATTCAGTGTACAGTATCAGGTTGGAGAATCCCACTATGGACGTGCACAGTGAAAGTTTTTGTATCTCTTTAGTTTTGGGTTCTTTGGGGAGATGCCTTCGGGGTGTTTGCCTCTTTTGGTTTTGTGCTTTTTTTGTGTGTGTATTCAATCCTTTCATTTTGTTTCTCTATTTATTTCTCTAATTTTTCTCTTGACTGCCTCCACTAATGGGGATCCAAATCAGCATATAATTTTTTTTAAAATCCACAATTAATTCTAAAAAAGAACAACTAAAATTTAAAACTACAATATACAAGCATTTTAACAGATTATTTAAAAAGTATAGATCATATGTTAAAATATTTATTTTGTTTTTCCCATTCATTTTTCCTCACTCATGTTTTTTCTGGCACTCCCAAAGCCCTAAAGAACACTTTAAAATTACTCCAAAAAAGCAAAAGGCAAAGCAACGGAGAATCAGTCTATTTCAAAAGCAGACAACACAACATGAGAAGGACAAATTAGCATCAGAGCTATGCAAGCAACAGTTTAAATTATCACATTCATTTCACCAACTAGGTTACAAACTCCACCCCCATGATCCACACACTTCCACAGAAGAAAAAAAACAGTCCTAAAATAGCTCGCCAATGGTGGGAGGGGTGGAATCATCAAAGAAATAAGTGGAAAATATTCAAAAAGTAATCCCAAGGAGGCACGTCATCACAGACAGGCTGCCTGGCAGCCTTAAGAATAATTCAAAGAAACAGGGAAGAAGGAATCTCCTAAAAAGCAAAGCAAAAAGGCAAAAAAAGAGAGGAAAGGATTCAAAATGGAGGCATAGCAGACAGGCACTAATCCAAGGTAGAGCACACCAGGAGCTCAGCATACAGTAATCCCACAAGGAACAAGGGAAGCAAACGGCACTCCTTATTGGCCTCCAGGCTATTTTACAGATTCAGCATTTTCACTCCCACTCCAGATGATCTAACCAGCTGCTGTTGACACTATTGGATGAAAAATTTCTCAGGCAATTTGACAGACAAACGGTCAAAGGGCAACAAAGGGTTATATGAAATATGAAAGATGAACTATCTGTGTATACCACTCATAAACACAAACTATTTGTATTTATTCTCTTCCAGCAACAGTCAAAATAATACAAAATACACAAAAAAGAGCATTTTATATTTTTGGTCCTTCATTTAAAGGCAAAACGCCCATCTCCACACCTCACTCCAACTAATCATTTTGAAGTGAAATTCCTTTGACTTTCAAAAGAAGCAATAATCTAGGAATGTATGAGAAATTAGCATCTTTTTAGAACGCAAGGAAGGATGACAACTCATGATAAAAATCACACAGAAGGCAATTTTAATAGCCAGGAACGAAGACAATGTACCATTTGAATGCAGGGTTTGTATTTCTTGTTAACTTCCATACACTCCACTCCAGACAATAAAGACTGAATTTGTGGTAACTGGTGACAATTCAAGAATGCATGTGTTTTATTGCTAGTTTTATTAGCCAGACTCCATGAAAAATGAGCTAATCCAGAGATATTCCAGATATTCTACTTCTTCCCCCTGAAGGAGATGTTGCATGATTTGCCAACAGCATGCTATCCAAGGGGTACCAAGTGAAAAAAAGTTTATTTCTGCTAAATGGTGAACAATAGGAAACCCCCAATGCGCCTCTAGTGTTTCATCAGGCAGTAAGAGAACAATCCTTTAAAAACAAGAACTTGGTAAGTACCAACTCTACCTCTTCCTCCAGTTTTCCTTTCTCCTTCATCAGAGTCGTCTTCTCCTGGAGAGCTGTCTCCAGTTCCTTTTGTATCCTGGAAACTGTAGACTCCAGGAGCTCCTTTTGGATGGCTGTGTTGTCCTCAACGTTACAAGCCTTTTGCTTACAATCAGAATGTTCTGCATGCAGTGCATCTCTACATACCAAACACAAAAGGATTGCCGTTTTATTATTCCTTGCAATTTCCAAAATCAGCAAAAACCCTCCTATGGTAAACAGAAGTATATCCTAAAGAAGGAGCTACCTTGCCTTTTCCAACGACTGATCAACAGCTTATCTTATGCGTTAAAAAACAAAACAGAGGAAAGGAGAGGAGATGAAGCTGGACCGCACATATGGAAGAATATTGCTAATAACCATGCTCTTCCTCTTACATCTCTCTCTGGAGCTCAGCTTTTTCATTCTGCACAATCTGCAGCTCTGCTGTAATGCTGGCCCGTGCAGCATCCAAAATCAGGTCTTGCTCTTGCAGTTTCTCATTAATTTTCTCCTGTTCCGCCTAAAAAGGGAAAATTATGAAAATGCTTTAATATTAAAGCGGATCCAGCATTCTCATTAAAAAGATAAAGCTTTCGGATGGCCTGCCCATTAAATCTTGAGCAGGCGTTCTCCAACTCCAAGGGCTAGACAAGACAAGGGTTAAACAACTAAGTTCCCAGCAATGAGGAAAACTACAGCATGATCCTGATGCCCCAAACTATCTATTTATTCTTTCTTCACTGAAGCTTCATGGAGCTGGCTGCACATGCTACTTTCCCTCACAACTGTCCCATGAGCCAGGTCAGGCTGAAAGAGAGGAACAGGCCCAAGCTCATCCTGGGGGTTTTATCATGGCTCAACTGGGACTAGAACTTGGGATTGCTCAAGTCCCCATTACAGCGGTTCTCGCTTCCGGCTTACCACACAGCAAGGGGGCACCTGTAGCACCATCTGGGACCCCCAGATCAAATTACAGAAGACCATAAGATAACAGAAACCCTCAGGAGCAAATCCTCTCAAAAGCCTAGGGTTTCAGTGAACACACTGTCAGCAGCGGTCCGAAACAGACTCTTGTGCTTTTGCTTTTCCCAGCCGGGGGGCGGGGAGGGGGAAACCTAGGTTCTTTCAGTCATATCACGAACAACAGTTCACGTGTTACAGGACATAACACGCAAGGGCCCACCACGTAACACAGATAAAGATGAATCAAGTCATTTCTGCAAGGGGCAGATTAGATAACTGGTTATCAAAATGGCACTGCACCTTCAGGGCAGCCCGATGCTGTGAGATCAGCTGAGCCTTCTCCATGGTTACACTCCGAAGGGCATCATTCAGCTCTGCACACTCTTGGGTCAGCTGCTCATTAAGCACCTGATAAAGAAAAAAGCAATACGATTCCCCTATAGGATTGGCAATTCCAGCTTCTTCTCCTTAGCAAAAATATCCCTAGGCCTTCGTTCCCTACAGAAGACAGTGAGAATGCATGGGCTGTGCCTGGCAAGAGGGCCCCGGTCAGAACATGCATGGGAGACAGAGTTGCAGTTCCCTGCCAGGTCTGTTGGCTATTTCCCATGGGACTCCTCTCTGACCCCAACAGTTCCCATGCCCTCAAGCCCTCCATTAACACTCCAAAAAAAATGAACCCCAAGTTACTTGAAAACCCCACTTTAAAAGCAAAATTAAATAACAAAAGCAACATTTATCCAGACCATGTGAAGTCCTGCAGCTGTCCTGCTCTACATAATTTGAAATCTGAAAGCCACAATTTCCATTACTTGCACTTTTTCTGCCACTTCTCGCAAGGCAGTGATTTCTGTCTGCAGCTGTATATTCTCCTCCTGGGCTTTGCTCAAGGACGCCTGTGCAACCTGGAGGAAAAGAACAGAATTCTCCTGAGGAGACAGGTTTTAAAAGCACTTCATGATGTTGCAGAAAAGCAGTCCAGTCTTCCTTTTTCTTGGTTTGTTTTTCTTTTTTCCAATTATCACAGGATAGTCCGGTTCAGATTAACAAATCTGTTGAATGAAAAGCCCTCAGGGAACATAAATGGGACTCCCTGTTGCAGCAGCTCCACGAGATGCCAATCTGTTTCTAGGCACAATTCAAAGTGTTGGTTTTATAAAGCCCCAAATGGCTTGGTTCTAAGCTATCTAAAAGACCACATATTCCTCTATGAATCTGCCCAGGCATTAAGATCATTAGGGGAGGCCTTTCTCTCAGTCCCACCACCCTCACAGCTGCACTTGGTGAAGACACAAGAGAGGGCCTTCTCTGTTGTTGCTCCCAGACTCTGGAACTCCCTCCCACAGGAGGCCAGCCTGGGCCCATCTTTGCTGTCCTTCCGCAAGCAGGCAAATACCTTTCTCTACAGGAAGGCTTTTCCTTAATGACTTGTGGTCTGAGAGGGATTTTTGAACGGATTGTTGTGCTCTGTTGTTTTAAATGTGCTTTAATAATGATTTTTTTAACATTTTAAATAAAAAAATTCTTTTTTAATATTTGTAGATTTACTGTAATATTGTCTTTCTAATGATGTAAGCCGCCTTGGGTCCCTTTTGGGGGAAAAGGTGGGGTAAAAATACTTTCAACAAATAAACAAACAAACAAATCTTCCTAACCATTTCAGAAACAGAAAATAAAATTCTGCTCAGTGCATGATTTCCCTCTTAAACTCACCTTTCCTTTTTCAGCTAGCCTGGAAATGGTAGTCTCTTGGGATTCTGGAACAAAAATATTAATGAAATGTAGGGATATTAAAACATCAACCTAAGTTACACTTAGTTTTAATTTTCTTAAGCCCTTTATTTCTGTAGAACGGATAGGAAAAAGTGTTGCACCATGGACGAAACTGTTTAAAACTGTGGTGACCCTGAATGCTTTTCCTGACAGCGATGCTTGCCAACAATTAGCAGCTGTCATCCTGCGCATCCTTATCTGTGAGTATGCAGCACACTGAGCCCAGAACAAATTACAGTATTTCCAGGTAACATGCATTGGTTTTACCTCCAGACTGCAGTCCTTTTGCAATAGCTAAAGCAGCCTTTCATTTGCACATGAAGGCACTTCTAAACTCATGCACCAAGTGGATGAGTTCTTACCAATGCATTTGCTATGCGAACTGCTGTTTATCATGTGAAAGATGACCCTGTCCTGTTAAGTGCTGATGGAAATCTGCAGCTCCTGTTCAGGTCAAACAGATCAACACATATCTATCTACCTTTTCAAAAGCCCCGCCCCCCATGAAAAAGCCTACCATCATCACCCTAAGGTAACCGGTTCCACCGCCAACCCATTGTTCTTCTCACACACTTTGAAACAGGCTGACAATCTTAAAAATACAGAATTAATAGCAGGTCCCCTAGTCTAACCCCCTACTCCAGCAGATCCAAATACTTAAAGGAATCATGGCCTTTCTCTCTTTGGAGGTCCTAAAGCAGACTCTTGGATAGCTCAGTGGTTTAGGTCTTTGGCTGTAGAGCCAGAGGCTAGGAGTTTTATTCCTCCCAGTGCCTCCATGACAGAGGCTGGTCTTGGTGATCCAGAGGGCCCCTTCCAGCTCTGCAATTCTAAGATTATGATGATGAAGAAGCTGGACAACTGCATGTCAGGCATGCTCTAGCTCTTTCCTGCATCAACCAGGTCTGTATCAAATAGCCTAAAAAATTCCCATTAGCTCTATGAGTCTAAGATTGTTTGGCTGGCAAATACCTTCCCAGTTACTATTCCTCCTATGTAGGAACTTCCAGAGACACTATTTGAAGTGCCCAACCCCCTGCTCGCCCCAGAAGGAATAATTCATGTCAGAGGCATTGCAGCCATACATCTCATCCCTGTAACACTATGTCCCTGAAAGTACCTCCTTATGGCCACAGGAGCTAGATTCTCCTTTACAACAGCTCCCATTGTTTCCAGAGAAACAATGGTGAGTCAAATGCAGGGTTACTTTGTACAATTTCTATCATCCCTGAATAAGATTCTGCTAGTTTGAGGTTTTGAGATATCTGTCCCATGCCTACTGCAATTGCCTCACTCCAGCGTCAAACATTTATTGTTTATAGTCAATTTTGTGTTTAGATTTCAGGCCCGTTTTAAAAATACCTGTTATCACATCAAGCAGGGACAAAGAGCATTCTTAAAACTGTTCTCACAGTCTGAACCCTGGACCTGTTGGGCCACACACAGCCTTTTTTGCTTTAGAAAGTGGTTACAGGTGCCGAGAAGAATTCTGGACTTCCCACTATCCTGTGCATGCCCCCTCTCTGCTCCATTCTGGATGCCAGCTGGCAGCCAAGTCAACCAGAATTGATCTAGCCTGACTCTGATCTAGACTTGGATCTGGGCCAATATCCTGAATACAGTGGTGCCCCGCATAGCGACGATAATCCGTTCCAAAAAAATCATTGCTATACGGATTCGTCGCTATGCGGGGCAAAAAAGCCCATAGGAACGCATTGAAACCCCTTCAATGCATTCCTATGGGCAAAAAACTCACCATTCTGTGGAAATCCTCCATGCAGCCGCCATTTTCGCTGCCCGGTAAGCGAGGAAAGGGTGCAAAAACACTGCGGGTGGCCATTTTTTCCCCCAGTGGCCATTTTGGAACCGCCAATCAGCTGTTTTTAAAACATACGTAGTTATACAATAATCAGTAAGCGAAACGCTTACCGATCATCGCAAAGCGATGTTTTGCCATTGAAAACATCGTTATGCAATCGCTTTTCCAATCGCAAAAACCTTATCGCTATGCAGATTTGTCGTTAAACAAATCACTCGTTATGCGGGGCACCACTGTATATGGAATTCTATTTATGTGAATGCGAACAAGCAAATGGCTATAAACTTGGGGAGTTGTTACTTTGGGGAGTTTTTACTTATCACCCTGAAATCTAGCAGGACAGTGGATCAGAAAGAGAAGATTCGCCATGGCAAATTGCACACAGGCAGCTTTTCAGTTTCAAAGGTAAACCATCCCTAAAATGTCCTTCGTTTTCCCTCTTCCTTTTAAACCTGCTGCTGCTGGCTGCTCCATCAAGCCAGCTCAGAATTGTGCATCCTTTGTACTGGAGGTGTTGCTGGGGACTCTGCTCGTGCAACAGCACCAAAAAGACCTCAGCTCAAGGAAGGGAAGTGACAAAGAGAAGAAAGAAACTCATAGAAATCCCCAGAAACCCTACAAATATTAAGAAAATAAACAGAAAAAAAACAAGGTGCCACCATGCAAAAACTGACTGAACCCTAATCACTCAATGTCTGGATTTGAAAGCAAGTATTCAAGGCGGTTACACATACCTACTCCGACCCAACCTAAAGTGAAAAAAGCACCTATCCTAACCCAGCTGGCACCCTAAGAAAGTTGAGCAGAGGCACAAGGTGCAAGTCCAGAGAGTACAGGAAAGATCTTTTGTCTTCATTGGTGTGAGTGAAACTGTCCACCAGTGAAGCCAAGCTCCCTCCCGTTGGTCATCTTGCATCACCTTCTGTTTCCCTTTTAAAATTTGTAATCTTCTGAACGCTAAATTCTTCCAGTGTGATCCAAATCTCCATTGGGGACAGGCTGGAGCTGTTCATTTCAATCTGGAGCATGCCAGGTCAACACTAGTAACCCTCATCGGACCCAAGAGTTGATCTTTCAGCCAGTGTTGGTGCACAGCCTACCTACAATCCATTCAAGTCATCAGTTACAGCCACTTTTTCAAGGACAACATGCTTTTTTCCTCAATACAGTAATCAGATTATGTCCACGGTTGCCTCCAGGCACTCACAATATCCACAAACAACTCAAAATACCTAGACTATTCTTAAGCTGCGCACATTCCTGCTCGAGGTGAGCTCTCCTCTCTTCTTCCTTTTTCAGGCTCTCTCTTGAGATCTGAATGTCCTGCCGTAAGCTGTTACAGTCCTGCTGCAGAAGATGAACCTGCAACCGTTTCCAAAAACACATTAGACAGAACACGGGCATTTCTTAAAACATTTACAATCTTTGCTGAGGCTGGAAAACTGAAGAATTAAGAGGTTAAATTACACTAGCCGCAGAACATATTGTTACTCTGGGTTTATATTACCCTTTCTGTTTTTAAGGTTCCAGTTAAGATAGGCTCGGAGCACTTGCTTAGCAGGCATGGGTCCAACATTCAGTCCCTGCCGTCTCAATGCAGGTTGGAGAGATTCACATCTGTTACCCTGGAGGGGTGCTGCTGTGTGTATGCAGAGACAATACTCAGATGGCCCTGTGGTCTGATTCAATATGTGGGAACCTCCATGTGGGTGACCAGCAATGGGAAACTTGCCTCTCCAAGTGTCTTGGATTTCAGCTCCCGTCAGTAGCCCTGTCCAGCTTGGCCCATGGCAAGTCGTGACAGGCACTGAAACGTTAAACGATTTCCCACTCCTGCCAGGGGGTTGACTCTCACTCCTTATGTTCAGGCTATCATTCTATCCAATGGATCACGCAGATGGAAGGTTGGCAATTAAAAATAGAATTGATGTGTATGATCAATCCCTCCTGTGCTGGTGTTAAGTACAATGGCATAAAATGCAGCGACCAACTGCGGCTAGTTCACAGGTCCCTGCTGGTATCCTTCATTGCAAATCAATCCCATAAGATGGTGTGTAGCAAGGGATACACGTGGCAACTTGTCAGCCAGCAGCAATTACCACTGTGACTTATGCCACTGCATCTATACTAGCATAATTAATCAACCAAGAGGATGCTGGACACTACATGTATGTGGTATGACCACTTGTTTTTAATATTTAACATCAGTCGTATGCTGACCAAATCAATCATATTCTACCACCAATAGCAGCCTGTGAGTAATCTGCAGACTGCACTGCTGTTTAATGAAATCCAGAAGGAACAATGGATGTTGCTGGGGTCTGACCAACCTGCTTCCGTTCTTTCTCCACTGACACTTCCATATCCTGTATCTGATAAAGCAGAACAGCCTGCGATTCTTCCAAAGACTCCCGCCTGCTAGTCTCTTTGGACAGCTGCTCTGTTAACTGCAAGGGATAAACCAATGTAGGTACAGTTTGAAGAAAAGAAATAGGAGAATGCAGGAGACTCTAAACTTGTTCTCTTTCTAACAAGCAGATAATTCAGGAGCAAAGTTAGCATTAGAAGCACAAACCAAAGCCATTTCTCCCATATGAATGAAATTGCCTTAATCTTTGAAGGATATCAGAATACAAAATAGGCTACAAAAATTCCTAGCGTGAAGTTGTTTTTCTTACATGCATGCAACATATGGGCTGGACCCTGAGAGGACTCTTCCCTAGGCCAAGTGGTGTGTGATGGAGAATATTCGGAGCATCCCCAAGTAACCTGTTCCTTAGTGCAGACAGAGGCGTATCCTTGGCTAGGCAGGACAATCCATGCATTCCCACCCATCCCTCTGTTACTGTTTCTGGCTTTACCCCCTGCAGTTCATGATCCGTCTTCTGTTTGGCCGCCCCCAGAATACAAAATATTTTTTATTTTTATTTATTTATTTGATTTATACCCCGCCTATCTGGACTACTCGTCCACTCTAGGCGGCTACAAAAATTCCTAGCATGAAGTTGTTTTTCTTACATGCATGCAACATATGGGCTGGACCCTGAGAGGACTCTTCCCTAGGCCAAGTGGTGTGTGATGGAGAATATTCGGAGCATCCCCAAGTAACCTGTTCCTTAGTGCAGACAGAGGCGTATCCTTGGCTAGGCAGGACAATCCATGCATTCCCACCCATCCCTCTGTTACTGTTTCTGGCTTTACCCCCTGCAGTTCATGATCCGTCTTCTGTTTGGCCGCCCTCAGTTCATCTACAGTGATGGACATCTCTCTCTGTAAAGATCAAAACCCCATATGACCACATAAACAACTGCAGCAGAATACACACGTGTCCTTTACAACTGGATTCTCTGTCGCCTGTCCTGATACCCTTTGGGCTTGGCAGTGGACCCACACGCATTGCTGGCACTTCGAGGTACATGGTGGATAAAACCTGCCTGCTTCTGTAAAGCCATTTCTCTGCATATAGATTCTTGCCACTGCTCAGTACAGCAACTTGACACAGCACTTATAAACATCTCCCCCAGTTTTTGCAATTAAAAATATAATATAGTTGCACATGTGTTCCCATTTTACTACACAGGATGATAATTATCAAGCCAATCTTGATGGAAGTGGATGTTCTAGCAAGAACTACGACAACATCTGGAGAATAGGATACGGCTATAGATTCTTGCCACTGCTCAGTACAGCAACTTGACACAGCACTTATAAACATCTCCCCCAGTTTTTGCAATTAAAAATATAATATAGTTGCACATGTGTTCCCATTTTACTACACAGGATGATAATTATCAAGCCAATCTTGATGGAAGTGGATGTTCTAGCAAGAACTACGACAACATCTGGAGAATAGGATACGGCTAATCAAACAAGAGAAGTTGGAACCCTGTGCGTAGGCAAAGAGAGAAAACCCAGAAAACTGCCTGACACTGAGCCAGAGTCTACCTCCAGCTAGTCCAGGATTACCAACTTTGTCTGGCAGTGGCCCTCCAGAATTTTAGGCAGAATTATTTCCTAGCCTTAAACATCAATACTTGGTACTACCTTGTGGTCTCCCACTGAATTACTAGGCACGTCCAACTCTGCTTAGCTTCTAACACCAGACAAGATCAGGTGCATTCAGGGTAGTGTGGAGGCACTAATACTGTTCAATAAAAATCAAAGCTGGAAGGGATTTGGGAGGCCATCTCATCCAATCTCTCCCTCAGTGAATATTCTGCAGTAGAGGATTCAGTCAGAATATCTGTGCCAAACTGCTGTTCAGCCTCTGCTGAAATACCTCTAGCGAAGAAAATTCCATTCCGCCCCCCCCCCCCCGCTGCCAGCACTGAAACTGCTACCAACATAATTTAACAATTTTTAGTAAAAGCTGACAATGGATGCCAAATACTTTGTCTCAGTGTAGAAAAAAATCCACTGAAAACCTAAAATATTTGCCATTCTATGTCACCAGCTAAAGTCTTTGACTGAGTCAGATTTTTCTTCGGCACAATCACAGCCATAAAACTCCTAATTCTTTTGAAAACAGAAGGTACATTTCTAGAGATGTGGCCAGATTTTGGATGGAATGGGGAAATAGCAAATCTTGGCTGTACCCCTAAGGCTCTGAGCAAATCAACACGTATTAATGTTATCTGAAGATAGTCGGCAAAGTACAGGTGAAAAGAAGAGGTCTCTGCAAGCGAGGGAAGCTTGACTACCTTTGTTGCGGTTGCAATCTCCAGAGCAGCCCTCAACCGCTCCACTTGCTTGCAAGCTTTTTCTTCCTCTTCCCGGGACTCACGGAGCTGCTGGCATAACATTCTGCCCTCTGTTTGCAGCACCTTTAATTCTTCTATATGCTCCTCCTGTATGGTGTTCAAGCGCTGTTCTAAATTAGCTGGAAGGCCATAAGAGACAAACCAAGGCACATCAATGTAGATCGGTTTCTCAAACCTTTAGTAAAAACACATAGTT